CCCCAAAACCCCAAAACCCCAAAACCCCATGAATTAAGAAAGATGTAAATAGGAAGAGTTATTAAATTATAAATAATGAAAAGCATTTAGTTGAATAATGTTAATTTGAACCTTGAATAGAAAGAGGCTAATTTTTATTCTCATTAATTTCCATAGACGAAGGCTAATATTCCTCTAACCTTCTCAAGGTCTCTCATTGATAGGCAAGTAGCTTCTTAGAGTCAACACCGTAGAATAAAGTCACTGATCAACTCGAACTGCTAACCACAATTATAACTGTAAAGTTCTAAATAAAATGGAAACAAAAATGAATCAGACTTTAAGATTTATGTTTAAAATGAACTGGAAAGTAATTATTAGAGTTAAAGAAAACCAAATGTAGATAGCACTCAAAATTCAATGGTTGTAAATAGATAATAATTGATCAAGCCAGTTCTTTCTAAGAAAAATAACACTCATTATGATAACTTGCAAGATTTATTACCTAAAACACCTTCTGGAGCATTTGACAGGGAACTTATTAAAACTCACAGAGTATTTGACAATAATTCTATTATTGAGCAGTCTGAGATTAAGAAACTAGACTGTAAGGTATTCAGGTAAAAACTTGAGCAGAAACTTAGAGAGTAATAAATGTAATAAGTTCCATTTAAAATTTTCGAACAGCCACTTATAAAAATATAATAATCCGCTACAGATAGATTTTTGCAAGCTGGCTTGTCTGATAAGAAATCCAAAAATTCAATAAATGATAAAGAAGTTGAGTTATTAGTACTGTTGAGTAAATTGAAGCAATTGAAAAGAGATCCTTTTATGTGTTAAAATAAAACACAATTCTTGATCAATTTACAAGATTAGGCTCTAAAAGCATTTGATATCATACTTGATTTTGAAGATTTACAGTTTAAGGAGCATCTTCGAATCATTCGAGGAATTATATCAATGCTCGTATTTGAAGATAAATTGAAACTGCCGAACTTCCTCAAGGATGAGATATTTGAATCAGATTTAAATCTAGAAAGTAGTCCACAGGTATGCTACTTTGAATTATATGAGAAAAGTATGAGAGCATATAAAAAGAGTATCAAGGAATGCAAGAAATTGTAAATTAGAGAAGAATTCAAAGTGTCTTAGCTAGAAGCTAAAATGGAAATAAACGACAAATCATACAAAAAGCTTCTAGATGACTTCAATAGATTAAGTTCAGGGCCAAACAAAGTAATTGATGATGGTCTGACTGAAATAATTGATTAGGTAAATCCTTGTTTAATTTATATTTTATTTATTCATAGAATGCGAATTTTGTCTAAGATAACAAAGTCCTTAGATTTAAAATAGAGGAATAGGAGGATGATTTCAGGAAAATGGAAACTAAGTTTTACAAGAAAAAAATTGCTTTGAGAGAATGTAAAGCTGAATTCATTAAGCTTATCATTGATCATAAAGCTTTAAAGGAGGTAATTTTGCTATCTTTTTTATACAGATTTTTAGAAATTTGAAAAATTAGAAAAGGAATATACTGAGAAAGAGAATGTCTATGCTTAGGGATTTTAAAACTATAATAATGCCCTATTTCTATTGAAACAATCATAAGAGAAAATAGCTTAACTGACTTAATACTCGAATAACCTGGAAGACGAAAATAGTAAACTTCTTATTAGAGGCTCAATAAGTTTTTCTGAGTTGACACCAAGATTTTCAAAGATGAAGGAGCTTTTTAAGGAGCATAAGATAAAGGAGCCCACAGCCAAAATGTGCAGAGATGGATCAAAACATCCTAGACATGTAAGTTCTGCTTAGTATGTAGAATGTCTGTTCTAAGAACTTGATGAGAAAAGGGCAAAGGTCAGAGAGCTTAAAAAACAAGTAAATGATTAGAAAATAGCCCATGAAAGAGAAAAGGCATCATTAAGTAGTGCGTACTTGAATGGCGGAAGCACGAACTTTTAAACACCTGGCAATCAAGGAGGACATAGATAGTCTGTTATACTTAAGAGGCAAATTAGACCTTTGAAATCATTGGCAACTAATCTTGTGAATAATACTGATAATTCATCATAAGAGGAGGCTGCAAGTAATGGTGCTCCTGCGAGTCCAAAAAGAAGTCAAAAGAAAAGCTAGGTTCAAAATACCTTGTCAAGTCCCAACATAATACTTGATGATTAGAGTAAAAGAGTTTTATTTAGTGATGCCCTACATGATACTCAAATAAAAGATAATGATTCAGTAATGCTAGAGATTATTAGTGAAAAATGAAAGTAAAACGACAAAAATTGATTGAATATGATAATCATTTGGATTAAGTATTATATGAGGAAAATATATAAATTTAATTAAAAACTTAATATAAACTTAATATGACCTTTTTGGGAAGAATAGCTCTCAGAAGCTAGAATCAAGGGCTCTTTTCAGCTATTAGCCTTTCTGATATGATTTATATGCACCCTTACCTGACTCTATTACTTCTTAAATGTCGTAGTCTTATTTTATGTTCTTATGCTCATCATTTGATTACATTACTTCGTCATCTTAATTTATCCCATACCTATATGAATTTGTGTTGTTATTTAGCGAATGATTGTTTCTCCTTTAGTGTTTTGACAGCTTTTATTTGAAGTAATTAGCAAATGGTAATCTTTCGAAATCGATGCCACCTTCGTTATCATTTTCCACATAGGTTTTCTCAATAATTTTCCAGTCAATTTTACCTTATTCCACATCTCTAGTTCTATCTAATAAAGCCAATATAAACATCATTGCTGCTGTAATAAAGAAATATACAGTCATTATCCATTAAACGAACGCCTCCTCTTTGTTTGAGAAACTAATTGATGCTAAGAACATGCAGAAGATTCCCTTTCCCCAGTAGTAGTTTAAGAATCTAAACTAGTCAGCAACCTTATGAACATTCAGTTGTGAAAGAGCAACTACCACTCCAAAAAACAAGTAGTAAAAATCCATTATAGCCTCATGCACTGTCTACTCTTAAACTGCAGTAAATCGCAAAGCTGAAATTATAATGAGTCCAATTGATCCTCCAAAAAAGAGGGATTTAGTTAAGTACTACAATCTGCGCTTTCTTTTCTCTCTTTTTAAAAGTCTCATAGACCCAATAGGCAAGGTTCCTCCGTAAGTATTCTTATAGAAATATACTGGCTCCTGTGGATCATATACAGGTTCACCCTCAGCGATATTATCTTAAGGTATTTATTCATAGTGTCTTGAACCCCTTACTGGCGCAGATTTTAGACTTTATTTTTGTCTGCTAGTTTATTTATCTTTATGCATTTTTAGGAATAATATATATTCTTCTTTTACTATTCGTTTTAAAAAATTAATGTACAATGGGGTTTTGGGGTTTTGGGGTTTTGGGG